GGGAACCTGGAGGAACCGTACCCAGCCTGGGAGCTCCTTGTCCTGGGTACAGATGCCTCTGGGACCCCCGGGGAGCCTGGAGGAACCGTACCCAGCCTGGGAGCTCCTGTCCTGTCAGCGGGTGGGATTAGCATGTTGAAATAAACGGTCGAGAAAAATTAGCACACTGACAAACCTTAAATAAAACCTTTAAGCACATGTGAGGCCTAATCAGGAAGCACGTGCAAGGCCTTGTCCTTATCGGGCCATACCCCACACATTTTGCCGCAAACATGCCGCTTGCACAGCGCTGAAGTAGAATTTGTGAGACAATGACCCAACATTCCCTAACCCTAACTATTTTGAAAAAATTTATGCCTGCATCCAATTGGTCCCCTAATTTGAATTTACTCCCTCCAGAGATTGTTACATTGATCCATAATGACCTGGAATACTTTGACAGGCATTTTAGAATTAGCACAACTAAACCTAATTTAAGTGTAGCAGAGAACAAGGCCCTCTCTGAATTGAGGGAGAATAAAAATATTGTTATTAAACCAGCAGATAAGGGTAGTTCTATTGTCATCATGGACCGGGAACAATACGTTTTTGAGGTGAACAGACAACTGTTTAACACCACTTATTATCAAAAAATAGACAAACCTATTTACAAAGAAACTATCCCCCTGGTGGCCAAAATAATTGAAGATTTACACAAAAAGAAATTTATTAACGCTAAACAAAAAAACTACCTCTTAGGCTCCTCAGAACCTAGAATGAGGAGATTTTATTTACTTCCAAAAGTACATAAGGAGCAGACTAAATGGACCAAACCACATGAGATTCCTCCTGGGAGACCTATCGTGTCAGATTGTGCCAGTGAGACCTACGGCACAGCAGAATTTATTGACCACTTTCTATACCCCTTGTCTACGCTACATAGCAGCTATATTAAAGATACATATGATTTTATAGAAAAAATTAAACAAATAACCTTACCAGACGAATCCATCTTGTTTACCATGGATGTTGACAATTTATACACCAATATTAGCATTAATGAGGGCTTGAATGCCATTAAGAATATATTTTTTAAACACCCTGACAGTAAAAGACCGGACAGAGAATTGCTCCAGCTCTTGGAGATCAATCTAAAACGGAATGACTTCCAGTTCAACGACCAATTCTTTCTGCAAATTAAGGGTACAGCGATGGGCAAGAGGTTCGCACCCGCCTACGCCAACATTTTCATGGCAGAGTGGGAGACTGGCGCCCTCGATGCCTGCAGTAAAAAACCATTATATTACTTCAGATATTTAGATGATATTTGGGGTGCCTGGCCACACTCAGAGGCTGACTTTGATGAATTTTTAACAGAACTAAACAACTACAACCCTTCTATTAAACTAAAGTCTACTACCAGCGTTAAAGCGGTGGACTTTCTGGACACCACAACCTATAAAAGTGACAAATTCAACACCACACACAAATTGGACATCAAAGTTTACTTTAAACCCACAGACACACACGCACTACTTTATAAAACCAGTTTCCACCCCAAACACACCTACGCCGGTCTAATTAAATCACAGCTCCTTAGATTCCACAGAATATGCACCCAACACGCAGATTTCGAGGAGGCAGTGGGAATCCTTTTCAAGGTCCTTGGTAAACGGGGCTACTCGAGGTCTTTTCTCAGGTCGTGCAGGAGATCCTTCCTGCATCCTAGGCCACGAGATCCATCCCCAATGCTCCCTCTGATCACGACATACTCCTCCTCAGCTAACATACTCATCTGCAAGGTAAAACAGAATTTCAATAAATTACAATCCGACACTTCCCTTCTCCAAAACCACAGAATAATTGCGGCCTACAAAAGGAACAAGAATTTGAGAGACCTCCTGGTCCATGCAGAATTAAAACCTATTAATGCGACTAAAACCAAGAGCAAAAGTGAATTTTTCAAACAACTACACTGGATACAGAGCAAATCTGACAAGACCGTTTTCCAATTGGATCAATCAGGAAACCCCAAGTCTAAAAACTGCATCTACTTAATAACATGTAAAATCTGTAAGATCAATTATGTGGGTGAAACTGGTAACACGATTCTGACCCGTTTTGCCCAACATAGATATAATATCAATAATAAGAAAAACCTACTCACACCCCTGGTCCGGCACTTTGTCGAGCATGGCTGGCAGGCGGTCACAGCAACAGTGCTGGAGTCCAACCAGACCTGGTCCACAGCCCAAAGGAGGAGGGCTGAAAAAACATGGATTAACAGACTCAGCACCATCTTCCCCGGTGGTTTGAATGAGAGGTAGTGCTTGGGTGTGACTCATAGTGGGTGTGCCCGTGCATTCAGGGGCCCTGCTGTCTCCTGCAGCGTGGTCTCTGACGTGAAGATCCTGCTGCCTTCGGCAGCAGGACCTCCACTAACCCAAACCTAACCCTAACCCTAACCCTGATTGGATTTTGGATAAAAGAGTCGAAAAAATTTGACGGCAAGCGGGACCGCTTCATCTAACAGCTCGACACCGGTCGCTCAGTGGACCAGAACCGAGTGGACATTGTTGGACTTTACTCCATGATAATCAGTAGCTGGTTTACAGCAGGTAAATCAAATGTTCTTAATGTTAGCTTGTGTTTACTTCGGTTACAAAACAACCAACTGAGTTTTTATTTTTATTTTTTTCCTGAAAGAAGAAGGAGCTGTCACCCACCAGGAGGACCGATTCTGAACGAGGCTCGGCAGCAGGACGTTGAAGAGAGAGATGATGGATGAACTATTTATTTAAAATTCCCCTCAGTTCTTTTATTCAATCCATTCAATGTTCAGTTTAATTATCAGTTTGTGGTGTTGAATAAATAAATAAAATAAAAATTAAACCTGATGTCTTCATTTTCAACGTTAATAGCATGCAATATGTCTAGCATCATTTTAATCACATAATTTGAATTACATATTGTCCAGATAGCTTCATTTAGCTCAGAGAGCTTCATTATATATCTCAAACTTAAGATAAATACTGTTTATTATTATTAAACTTATTATTTAGCACATTTAGATGTTATAGTGCAGCACGACGTGTGCGTGTGCCTCGTTCTATAAACAGCGAGATTAGAACTGGATCAGATTGTGTCTCTTCCAACACAGATGTCGGTCACAGCACCTGGAATATGAACTAGATTAACTACGAGTTTAAAAATATATTCCATCAGTCGAGGTTCTGAAAGCAGTGTATCCACTGTCATGTTGATAGAAATATAGCATCTGTCTGCGCGTGCGCATGTGGTTTAACACAAAGCCTCAGCGGGAGATGTTTACATTATCAGCGGGGGGTTTTGATGCAGTTAATTCCCTTTCACACCTGGGGGTGAAAGCTTCAGTAAAACTGGTAGGGGCAAAGTTTGTGTGGCCAGGGCTGTGTGGCAGACACAAGTGTATTTATTTGATAAAATGGTAAATGGACTGTACTTATATAGTGCCTTTCTATCTTATTTCAAGATACTCAAAGCACTTTACACTACACTCTGTGCCCTTATTTACCCATTCATACAGCACTCTACTAGATCTCTACAAAGCTAATTGAACAAATCATTCTAATGAGACTAATTAGTGCTTTAGATCACATTCATACACTGATGGGACACACATCAGAGGCTATGAGGGGTTCAGTGTCTTGCCCAGGGACACTTCAGCATGTGACTACTGGTGAATTTGAACCCCCAACTCTCGCATTGGAGGACGACTGTTCTAACCACTCAGCCACAGTCGCCCCTTTCACATCAGAATGTGCTCTTATTGTGAAAGGGACAGAATATAAAAAGAGCAGAGCAACAGTTGTAATTCATTAATTTTTTCTGAGTTTGAAGTTGGAAGACGTAGAGAATAAACGGAGATACAAAATATTTCCACAAAGTGTTTATTTGTTATTAATCAAAACAAATTTAGAGTTATTTTCAAACCAAAACAACAAACTGTCGGTAATAAACCAAAGTTTTATTTCAGTGTTTAGTGTTCCTGAATATTGAGAAATAAACATTACTGGTAAACACACACAACAAACTTAAATTACAGAGAAAAAGACAAAAACTTAATGAAGCTCTTCTGAACAAATCTCTGTAAATACATATTGAATTGCTGTAAATATATATTGATTATAGTGAAGCATTAAAGCAGCTGTCCTGTTTCATGCATACAAAAATACTTATTGGAGACATGGGCAGATTTGTTGCAGAACAAAGATCCCTAAAATAAACGTGTACTCTGAAAAATTGTTTAACTAAAGATAGTTAGCTAAAATGACAAATGCTAGTTAGCAAGACAGCCTTAGCTAGTTAGCTAAAACAAGTAAAGCTTGTTAGCAAGATTAAGCTAGTTAGCCCAAATAGCTGATGTTAGTTAGCCAAAACAGCCCAAGTTAGTTAGCATTAAAGGGGTAACAAAATCAGAAGTATTTGTTCTTTGACTGAATAAATTAGCTTTTTACCATTAGGTTGGTGTGTGTTCAAGCCATAGCTAACAAAAACAAGTTTTTGTTCCATATCCGTCATCAGAAACGTGGTCACCATTTTTCAAACTGGCTGGCTTACTTTATTGTGCCTCAAAAATGTTTTTATTTTGACAAAGACAAACTTGACAATGAAACATCTATACAGACTCCAATCACAACAAGCCAAACATTCACATTTCGATTCAGACTACAACATGAAATGTTATGAGATAATACGGGCACTTAAGATCTTCAATGCACAAAGTGGAAAACAATCACATGGCGTCATCAAAGGACTAATCACAAATAAATAATAAACAGTTAATAAATAGAAGTCAGATATTGACTTTAGCTTGATATGAGTGGTGTATAATGTTGTTTATTAGCCTACATTATTAAGACTGACTGAAAATTATCCAGACTATATTGAGTAATGAACATAAGATAAAATAATGCTCAAAATTGATGTAACATAAATACTAACTAACAAATTTAGCCCTCCTGCTGTCCTTAGGTCAAAATGACTCACAAGACCACAGTCTCAACAGAGTTTTTGTAGCATTTTGCTCCCTGAAAGGTTTGCTAGGTGCATCAAAGGGGTACTCATGTATTTTAATAGTAAGTATTCTTAAATGCTTGAATGAAAATCTTGCATTCTTCTTTTCGTGCAGGTAGAATTAGCATGACATCATGATTAAGGTACATCTGAAATCTGGAATATCTGACAACCACATGATGACAAAGGCATGCTTCTACAACACTGAGGTACACTATAGAAAATCACAGAGCCTGTGGAGTTGTACAGTTTAAGAACATCACTTCACGGACCTCTGAAAATAATCTAGTACCTCAATTTGAACGTACTAGAATCGACGGAAACTGAGTGTAAAAAGCTGTACTGATTTTGACTATGTTAATTACTTTTGTGTTTACCTGATGTCATTAAAAGTGTTCACACAAATATATAAGATAGATTTATAGCTTTGTTTGTTTGTTTTGTACTTGCAACAGTTTCCTCAGGAAAAAAATATAGGGTCACGCAAATTGATCACAAAGACAATGATTGCCAAAGCCACCATGTTAGTCCATTCCACGTTCAGACAATCAGAAATTGTTTCAAGCAGCTGTTCTTCATGATCAGTCAATTGCTTAAGATATTTAAAGGATTCTAGTTCATGAGAAGAAATAAACATTCTATAGTAAAACAATCCTTATGTACAAAGATTAAACAAAAAGCTAAAAGTGGACCTGTCCTAATTTGTCTAGGTACAGTATATGTATCTTATTAAAGATCGAGGGGTAATAGTTTTCTGAATATTCAAATGGTCCCTTAACCCTACTGCTGCCCTTGGGTCAAAATGAACTGTTTTAAAACTGAGGCCTCAAGGCTGTTTCTGACCCAATGACAGATGGGGGGGGATTAATCCTTTGACTGAGTCCTTGCATGACCATTCCTCCTTGTACCCTTATAAGAAGGACAATGTGACAATGGAATTGGACTTCAGTCTTGTGGCGGTTATTTCATGACTGGTCATGCAGTCAATGGAAATTTGATTATACAAGGTCCATCCACCCATTGTCTTTACCCACATGAACCTGTTTGGGGTCAAGAGATGGTGCCTATTTTGAGTGGTGAGTGGGTGAGATGAGGGGTAGGCTACAGTCTGAACCAATTAGTCCTTTACAGGAGCACATGGAAACTAACCATTCATAAATACACTCATATTTAATGAATCACAATTTATCCTAACGCATGTTTTTGGTCAGTAGCAGGAAATCGGAGTATTCAAAGAAAACCCACACATGCACTGAGAGAACATGCCGAGTTTTCACATCTGAGGTTCCAACCAAGAACCTTTGTGCTGCAAAGTAATAGTACTAATTGACTGTGAAGTCCCTTGCGTATTTTTAAGAAATTTCTTTTAACGTTTTATTAAATTTAAATATTTACATGTTCAAAAACAACTTATCTTGGACTCTATTTTACAAGGTTATGTCAGGTCATCTGGACAGTTGACCTGGATTCTCTTGGTCTCTTAGACTAGTTAAACATTTAGTGCCCTATTTAAGTCTAGCTGAAGAACAACTTAAAGGTAATTCTAAATTCCAAATGTAAAACCATGGTAGGAAGCATCAAATGTTGGAAAGAATAATGTGGAAATAACAAAAAACATATTGAACATGGACCACTTTTAGCTTAGTGACTTTTTTTGTCTATTTCAAACAGAAAATGGCAGAACGTTATAAAACTTTAGACAATTCTCACCATTTTCACCAAAATATATCCACATTCACAGATCCATGCCAGGTTTTCTCATCTCCTATCCAACATTCACAATATTTTTTCACATTTAAGATGCATTGGTTTCTAAAAGACACTTTCTTCATCTGTTCTCCTTGGGTTTTCATGTTCATTTAATCCTCGACTGATCGACAAAAACCAAACCAGAAGATGGATATCTTCAGTTTAATCATATTGATCTTTTTTGCACATTGTTCTTGACTTACATGACTATTGCATCCCATTCTGCAGTTATAAATTTCTTAAAAGTTTTTGAGACCACTCATCTTTCTTTATTTTCAAATTGTTTTTGTTCTCTCACTGATCTTTCCTGATTACTGTAATTTCAAGTAGATTTGTCCAGTAGAGTAATGATGGAAACAAAAATGTTTGCCTTTTGATTTTAACTATTGCTCCTCTTATCCACCTTCCTTCTGCTTCATAATCTCCATTCAAGCCTACATCATTGCAGGTAGCGGTAGACTTTGAAGCAGTGGTTACCGGAGTCAGCGACCACAACGTGTCCATCAGAGGTCAAAGCCAGACCCTGTGGTCCATACAAAGGGTCTGCTGATGTGTTGATGTATGACAGGAAAGATCCACTGCCATCAAAAACCTGAAACATTATAAACCAAAGAGAAAAAAAACAATGAACAATTGAGATTTGTTTCGTTTCTACAAGTCAACAAACCCTTTGAATTGATGGTGTACCTGTATTCTGCTGTTACCCCAGTCAGCAACAATGATGTTCCCATTAATATCCACAGCTACACCTGTAGGAGCATTGAACTGACCATTTCCTTCTCCGTTTGAGCCAAACTTCAAAACCAGCTCTCCTTCAGGGGTAAAAACCTGATGAGATAAACAGATCGGATAATATCCCTTTCTGTAGTTTTGTCACATCAATCTTTTTTGCCTAAATGCCACTTGATTTATGGCATTATTTTATTTTTTAATGAAAGACAAAATAAATAAAATGGGTTGAGCACCTTGACAGAGTGGTTATGGAAATCTGTTATTATTATCTCATTGTTTTTGTTCACAGCTGCAAAGTGTGGACCTTCAGGACAGAAGCAAAAAACAATATCAGATCCTTTCCATTTAGATGGTTTTCCACCTTAAAGCTTCAACATGCAGTAGTTTCCATATTTGCATGCACAAAGCCATTGGGACCTTGCCAACAAATGCACATTATCTTGGGGTACCTGCAAATTGCTTGTCGCCATTGCCGCGACTACCAAACTTAGTGATGAGCTTGCCAGTCAGCTGAAAGATGAAGACGGTACATGCCTTGTTGTCAACAACGATCACATGACCATTCTGGTCCACTGACACTCCCTTTGGACCCATGAGTCTACCAGAGCCAAGTTTTGCCTGAAAGGTGGCACCAAATGCAACAGTGGAGGAAAAGTTAATAATGGAATAAATAAAAAATAGAATAATTTGGATTGAAGTGTCAAGAAGTCTGAAGAACCAACCTTAAATTTACCCTCACAGGTGAAGATGCTGACCCATTTGTTGTCATAGTCTGCAATGATGATGTCTCCACTGGGATGCACAGCAACACCCGTTGGTCTTTGCAGTTGGCCCGGAGAACGCCCACGAACCCCAAAACGACTTTTAAATTCACCCTCATTGGAGAAAATCTGTGTAAAATGACAGATTCCAAAGCATGTAAACAAGATTTTAACTCTCTTTCTACCTAAAAACCCATGAATGTTCTTAGAAGCAAACAAACAGAGCCATACCTGAACACACTGATTGTTGCTGTCAGCTATCAGAATCTTGCAGGAGGAGGCAGCTACACCTTGAAGGTTGGTGAACTCGCCTTTATTTCTCCCCTTGGTTCCTAAAAAGAAATGGGAAAATCAAATACAAAGAAAGAAATCTTTTTTTCATCTATAATTAGGGTACTAATCATTGAGTTAAATCTTAAATATCCCAAGTTTTGCTTTTATGGCCCCTTACAAAGCAATCGATCGCTTAGGTAAAAGAGAATGAATTAAATATGCAGCTCAAAATCTTGATTAATTTCTTAGAGGGAACTAATAAAGTCATGGGTTAGCAGTTGGCCCACATTAAAACTCAACAATATTGAATATGCTTAAATACAACATTGTGTTTTCCAAAAAAGTTCGATCTGGTCCTCTGGATATTCAAAGGTATTCATATTCAAATATTCATTTGAATATCCAGAGGACCAGATTGAACTTTTTTGGATTTTTCTACCTGGATTATTGAGCATGCATCAGGAACATTGTGTTTTGCAACTTTAATACCAGCTTCAGGTTTTCTGACCCTTCTGGTTTTTCTTCACTGGTGCCTCCTTTCAGAAAAGCTCTTACCAATCTTAAAGATGAGGTCATCTTCAATAGGATTCTGAGTTTTTCGTCTTGGGGTACCCATGGCACTGCTGGCTCTCTTGGAGCCTTTCTTCTTCTGTCCAGGGGACTTCCCTCGCCTCTTCGCCCCCTCAGAGGAGCCTGTGGATGGGGTCACATTGGCTGCTGAATTGGTTGCTGTTGTAGTGGACGGAGACACCTGGAGAGTAAAAAAATATATATAGAAAAGATAACAAACAGAGAACATACAGGAACACTCAATGGTTGAACAATTTCTTGTGCAGTTTTTTTAAAGGTGTTTCATAATTACTGACTACAGAAAAAGTCCAGAAACTTCAACTGATAGTTCATTTTTAGCTAAAGACAAAAATGTTCCTGTGGTCATACAAACAATCCAGACAAATTGTGTTTGGAAATTTTGAATCACTCTGTACACCTCAGATTTCCAGTACAAAACAGGCTCCTGTCATCTGCAGAAATATTCAGATGACGCTGCAGTCATTGGGCGTATCAGAGATGGACAAGAAGCTGAGTACAGGGAACTGGTGGACCACTTTGTGGCATGGTGTGGAAACAATCATCTCATCTTGAATGTGAAAAAAAACAAAAGAGCTGATTGTAGATTTCAGTAGAAACATGAACAGGTCCAACACTATTTCCATCATGAGAGAAGAAGTGGAGGTGGTGGAGAAGTATAAAGACCTTGAGGTTTACGTGGACAACAGACTGGACAGGAGATGTGTAGATGAACAGATGCTGAGATATATTCATCAATTAAAACGGATTCTTCATTTTTCTGGACTGAATAAAACGTGCATTGAATTTAATGAAATGTAACGTGAGACGTCATTTTTCTTTGACCCATCAAAATGAATGCGGTCATTTATTTTACAGAATCAAAGTTTAACATCAAACATTTACATTAATTTGGCAAAATATGAAAATAACAACATAATCAATCACCTTTACAACCAGGAAAACCATACGGCCATGATTTTCCGTTGCTTCACCACAGACATTTATGAAAACTGTACAATTATGATCAATTATCCACACGGCGGTGGATGAGCACTTTACACAGACATTTCTAAATTATCTGGAAGGATTTCTACTTGATAGAAGGATTTAAAGATGGAAATGAAGTTTAAAGGGAGTAAAAGATGGTGTGTGAGGGGGAGTGTTGACCAGAACCGACACTCTCCATTCGAACCCAGCTTTTCCTCGGTACGCTTGGTAGGGAACTTGACTCATTACCTTTCTGAAGATTAATCAGCAGATATGGAGTTCCAGTTAACGCTACCTGTCCAACGTCTCCATAGGATGGCTGTGACTCGTCCGAAGTAGTGACGAGATTCCGTCCGACACCAGCTCACATCAGCAAGTGGACTTCACATGAGTGGAGTCCTTCAGAAGTTCCACTAAGAGGTGGAAGATGTTATAATCCAACTCGGAAGAGCCTTATCATGGCTGGACTTCTGTTCTCCCAAACGACTTCACAGAACTGCGAACATCTCAGAACTTCTCAGCGCCTCACCGAACTGAGAGAACTAGGAAGTACCGGCAATTTAAAGAGCTCTATTTCCGGTATATTTGAGCGTCCCTGATTGGTCGAAATCAACCAGACAGGGGTGTGTTTTGTGATGTAAGAGGTTACTAGAAGTCAGAAAACAGCAAGAATTGTTATGGAACAGATTAAACTGTTCTCAGACAGGCGAGAGAAATATTTTGGCGAGTTTGGAGAACAGGTGCCAACTCCTCTGTTTACGTCTGAGAGGATTTTAAAACAAGACACATGTCTGCTTCGACTCGGACCTTGGACAAAACTTACACTTGCTCATTCAAAGACAGAAATCAGAAAATACATGATTACTCTGTAACAGACTTAACATGAACTCTAACTTTGCATAAGCAACTAAAAAATCATTGTTACTGTTTTACAGTTAATAAAATTGATTAGTTCACTGCAACATCTAAAATGGTTTGAACTAAGACACTTTGATTATCAACATTTGTAAAATAGTAATGATAATAAAAAAAGAGTGTTCTTTCACTTGATTTTCAAGAAAGAAAGTCTCAGGATGGGTGAACCTGTATTTCTGGATTCAAATCAATGAAATGACAGTTTCTGTCCCACAAGCTTCTTAAGGTCAAGGGTTTTGACCTTAGGCTTAGTTTTGACATCAGGTTAAGTTCACTACAGATGCAACATTGATGTGGTCTACAAAAAGGGCCAGAGCAGACTGTACTTCTAGAGGTAACAAGTCCTTCAGTGTTTGCAACAAGATGCTGCATATCTTCTATAAGTCTGCTGAAGAAAGTGTTATTTCTTCTGCCATCATCTACAATACCATACCATACCACTTTATTTATCCATTCATCCATTATCTTTACCCGCTTATTCCATTTTGGGTCACTGGGGTCGCTGGTGCCCATGTCCAGCAATCGCTGTGCGAGGGGCTGGGTACACCTTGGACGGGTCGCAAGTCCATCACAGCACTTTATTTATAAAGCACTTAAAACAGTTACAAGGCCAACCAAAGTGATGTACAGAAAAAACAACAGGTAACACACAAAGCAAAATACAAAATGAGGTAAATCAGAATATAGACATAAAAACAGTGCAGATAATGACGATAACCCAGTGTGGATCATACAGGATCAAGACACAGATCATCTGGTGTTGAAAGCTACTGAATAGTAGTGAGTTTTTAAGCAGGACGTGAAAACCGAGAGGGAGGGGGCCTGTCTGACAAGCAGAGGTAACTCGTTCCAGAGTCTTGGTCCTGCTACAGAGAAGGCCCTGTCACCTCTGTGCTTAAGACAAGTCCCTGGAACTGTGAGGAGCAACTGGTCCGCTGGCCTCAAGGAACGTGGTGGGACATACGGGTGTAGCAGATCAGAGAGATGGGGGGGTGAAACTGTTCAGTGATTGTAGACATACAAGAGTATTTTGAACTGGATTCGAAGGTGAACCGGTAACCAGTGCAGTGAGGCCAAAACTGGTGTAATGTGCTCTCTTTTGCCTGTACTGGTTAAAAATCGGGCTGCTGCATTCTGGATCAGTTGTAGTCGTGCAATGGAGGTCTGACTGATACCAAACAGGAGTGAATTGCAGTAATCAAGCCTAGATGTAATGAATGCATGTATTACTGTCTCCAGGTTCTTTTTGGACAATATGGGCTTCAGTTTAGACAGCCGCCTCAGTTGGAAGAAGCATGATTTAACAATCATGTTTACATGATTGTTAAGTTTCAGGGAAGGGTCCATTATCACGCCCAGATTAGTGACTCTTTGTTTTTCTGACAGGGTTAGAGCGGAAAGGTCGATACAGTGGTTTGTGATTGTGTCATTGGGAGGGAACAACATGACTTCAGGCTTCTTTTCATTGAAACTCAAGAAATTTAAAGCCATCCAGTCCCTGATGTCAGCCAGGCATTTGAGCAGCGGTTGAATAGAGCATGTACCATTGTGTCTTAGGGGGAAGTAAATTTGTCATCGGCATAGAAGTGGAAGGGTTGTGTTTCCGGAAAATAGCACCAAGCGGCAGCAGGTATAAAGAGAACAGGAGGGGACCCAGGATGGAGCCCTGCGGAACCCCCCATTTAAGCTCTGCCTCTGCGGAACTAAAATCCTTGATGGAGACACAAAAGGATCTGTCAACGAGGTAAGATCTGAACCAATTGAGGGCTGATCCTGTGACGCCCACCCACTGCTCCAACCTAGCAATGAGGATCTCATGGTCGATGGTGTCAAAGGTGGCTGTGAGGTCCAACAGGACAAGCAGCACAGAATCACCGGTATCTGTGAATCTGAACATGTCATTAAAGACCTTCAGCAGGGCAGTTTCAGTGCTGTGGAGAGGTTTAAAGCCAGATTGGAAAAGCTCTAAGATGACGTGATCCTCCAGGAAGCACTTCAACTGGGACTTGACTATTTTCTCCTGTACTTTAGAAACAAATGGGAGTTTGGAGACAGGCCAGAAGTTGGATATGACTGAGGGGTCAAGGTTTGTTTCTTTGAGGAGAGGCTGGACAGTAGCATGTTTAAAGGATTTTGGCACCACGCCAGTGGATAAACTACTGTTTACTATAGCCAGAATGGATGGACCTAGAGTTGGAAAAACCTCCTTTAGTAGTCAAGGGGGGACCACATCAAAGGGGGAACCAGAAGGTTTCAAGTTGCACAAGACCTGCTCTAGAGAAGATAGAGTGATGGGTTCAAAATGATCAAAAGGAGCTACAGATTGAGGTGGGATGGATGGGTCATGAGTTGGAGGGGAAATGAGAGCCCTGGTGGTTGCAATTTTTTCCAAAAAGATATGTAAGTAGTTGTCGCACAGCTCAGTTGAGGCTTCCAGAGGTGATGGTTCAGTGAGGTGGAGAACAGAGTTTAGGGTGGAGAAGAGGACAGATGGGTTGTGAGAGTTTGAGGTAATTATATCAGAGAAGTAATTGGATTTAGGAGCTTTTACTGCTTTCTGATAACAGCGCCAACTCTCTTTAAGTATTTGGAAAGAGACCTGCAGCCCGTCTTTCCTCCATTCGCGCTCCGCCCTCCTACATTGCTGCCTATCGGCCTTGGTGACGTCACTCAGCCATGTAAGAGTACCACTGCCTGCAGCTCCTCCTCCAAGATGGCCGATAATTGCCTACACCTGACGGCCATCAGACTGAGGAGGCATCCCCGGCTACAAAAGGCTGCAGTCCAGTGCTACTCTTCGCTGGAGCATATCACCTTCCATGGTAGTTGTGCTTCAAGCCTTTTAGGCTATTACTCACAAGTACTAACCTTGCTCTCTTGTTCCCAGTGTTTCCTGGTTCCTCGGCTTGTTAAA